GACAACCTCTACCTCCAGCAGAGCCTCGACGAATACGGTGACGCTGTCCTCGAAGAGGACGAGGTTCAAGACACCAACAATCCTATCATGGACAAAACCCTTCTTGACGCTGGCGCTGAAGGGTTTCGCGTGTTGACCAACTTTACACCGGACGAATTCGAGGCAATCTGGGGGAATGCAGAGCTTGCAATGACATCTCGTTGGAATGACGGACGTGGCCGCAAGTCGACGACAAGTGCAAAGGACGCGTTGTTCATAACATTAACGGTGCTAAAACACTACCAAACCTGGGAAAAACACGCTGTAGACTTCGGCCTCAAGGCACCAACGCTGGAGAAACTCGTCGTCAAGGTGATTGCCGTATGCTCCACTGTCCTGTACGATACCTTCGTCTCCATGCCCCGCATGACGGCGCTGCGATCCAAGAACAAGCTGTTCACCAACATGTGGTTTTTAATAAATCATTTGATATTTGTATGAAATAGAATAATAATAAATACAAAAAGCAAGTATAAATAGATCTGAACTATTTTATTATCGAAACTGTGTTCATGATTCCGATCTGTTCAGTTATACTGTACCACCGAATCATTTTGGAAATGAGTTGGTCATTTCCGACTTGCAGGCTCATTGCGAAAACACTATATTACATCGGAAATACGACAGCAAATCGTCAGTTGCAAAAGCAAGTTGGATACACACGAGGCTTTCACTATGACATTCATGCTCTTCCGTAATATGTGACGAACTGGTTTGGTGACCTATTGCATTGTTAATGTCTACCAGCGACGGCGTACCGTCGCTGAAGGACGAGCTTCAAGCTCGTCATGCATACGCCAGTACGAAGTACAACTGAACATAGGAAAGGAGCTTTACTAACAACATCAATTCACTTCTCGATTTGCCTCGTTGGTCCTGAGTCGCTTGCTGCCAGTAACCCTCTGCTTGGCTGTCGTCCTACACACAGCCACACGCATCAGTTCAAGAGGTTCTGAGCCCAAGACCCCGGCACACACACAAGGAGGAAGAATGGCGAACATCACCGCCACATTGACGCTCAACGAGCACAACTTCAGCGACTGAAAGACCTATTTCCCCGGAAGACTTATGGCGAAGGGTACGCACTACCAACTTACCGCACCGTTCAGCATGCAACCAAGCATCGATGACCAGAAGGCACTGGGGATCCTCATCGAGACGATCGAGCCCAGCCAGTACCACACATCGGCATGAAGCATGTCCGCACATCCTACGAAGCACTCGTAGCCCACCATCAGCCGACAAAAAGATTGATCGCATCCAAGTCGCGATGGAATGGACCAAGCTCACCTGGGACCCGCGCCAGGAGACACTGCCGGACTTTTCAAGTACTGATGCGCCGCCTACACGAAGTACGCGCGGGTGAGTCCGAATCCAACGAAGTAGTGAAGCTACTTGCCTTGATGCCGTGGTAGTTCCGACACCTTGTGGACCGGTTGTCGAACTTGCCCGACGAAGAACAAACCGTCGCCAATATGAAGGTTGCCCTTGAAGCCGAATGGAAAGCCGCCGTTTGAAATGGCGTCATCAAAATGCCGCGTGGACATGCCAACGAAGACCGCGCCTTGTATTCAACGGGTGGACGCGGCACACAGCGCAACAACAGTCGTGGGTGGAGCCAAGGACGCGGCGCAACATGAAGTGTCCAAGCCGAACGGGGCGAGCGCATTTCGTCCAAGAGCACATGCCACTACTGTGTCAAGACTGGGCACTGGCAGGCCGAATGCCGAAAGAAGATCCGCGAGAGCGGCCGCCACAGAGCCAAGATGCGCGACACCAAGGAAGACCACTCCAACGCGGCGGTATACATGTTCTCAAGGTTCGAGAACGGACATGACCAAGACATGGTCAACTCAGACGACGAATCGAAGGATAACGAAGACATCCAACCCACCGTCATTGATGCCGGCAACACTGAACCCATCTACCTTGGGGAACCCGGCGAAGTCCTTCCACTCCGCACTGACCCAGACTAGTCACCTACGCGTCAACCAGTCAGACAACTATCCATCGGTGGGACCCCGTATAACCTGACCTTACTGGGCCGCCAAGACCTCGCGGCACTTCAAGTCCAACCAATCCAGACCCGACACACGTCTTGACGTTACCCCCGTGGCTCTGTCGTCGGTACCTAGTTACAGAGTACGACGTGAGAGCACATCGAGTGCACACCGCACGACGAGTCCAATTACTACCCGTGGTTTGGATTCAAGGCCTACGAAACGTATATCGCCGACAGCGAATTCCTCTTCCCCAACCTACGATTCTCGGCACCAATAGAAGATATCAGACACACACTGTACCTCCATCCCATCGGCACCGCTGATGGGATGGACACCGAACCGGCACCCTCAAGCGTAGACGAAGTTGAGCCGGAGTTCGAAACCGAGTCGTCCCTCGCATCCCCACAACCCAACACGACAACGAAGATGAAGCCGACACACCATTTTCAGAAGACAGCGATAACGATGCCGACATGGCACTGTCGGCCGAAGACTGTGACACACGTACCATCGAACACCGCATCGTGATTGACTCTGGCGCCTCGACACACATGACTGGCGCGCCCGACCACTTGTACGCCAAGACACCTTGCAACCGCCAAGTCATCGTCGCCAACGGCGGAGTCACCACGGCAACCCTAATGGGCAAGCTCAACATCAGCACACCGACCCCGTCGACACTCACCTTGACCGACGTCCTGCTGATCAAGGGAATGACAACGACGCTGTTGTCCGTTCCAGCCCTCATGCGCGCAAACCCCAAGATCCGCGTGGAATTCCAGCGTGACAAATGTACCATCCTCTTGGGATCGAAGACCGTGGCCCGCGCTACAATCAGCAACGATCAGCGATTGTACATCCTGAAAGGAGTGTTCACCCACGAATCGGTGAACTCAGCCGCAACTGTCGCCGACCAGATTGCCCTTTGGCACCATCGCATCGGCCATATACTGTACCCGTTGAAGCGCTCCGAACATGCGCCAAAGCCGGTCTTGGACTGCCGCAACAAATCACCGACATGGACCGACCATGTATGCACTGCCCCCGCGCCAAGATGCACCGCATCACCGTCCCCAAACGTAGCACAAGAACCTACAAGCCAAGTGAGTGCTGGCACTCGGACACCAAGGGACCACTACTTATCGCATCGGTGGGTGGTTACCGCTACTACACAGCGTACGACGACGACTGCACCCACTACAAGATCGTTCGCTTCGTGTACACGGCCGCCGCTTAACAGACAGCCAACCTACAAGAAATCATCGCCCTCTCAGAACGACAAACGGGCAACAAGGTAAAAGTATTCCAATCGGACGGAGGTCCCGAATACACATCGCACCAACTTGAAGACCTACTCAACTCCAAGGGGATCAAGCATGAAACATCCTCGCCAAGGGAGCAATGTCAGAATGGCGTGGCGGAACGTACCCACCGCACATTGTTGGAGATGGCCATGGCCATGCTCACCCACGCCAACCTGGCCCAACGCTGGTGGACCGAAGCAGTCAACACAGCAGCCTTCATCTGTAACCGCGTGCTGCAAGCAATCAAGTGCACCAAGACGCCGATTGAGCTTCAGCGGCCACTCACCGTCGCTGGCCAACATGCGAGATTTTGGTTACAAGTGCTTCAAGCTAGTGAAACAACCCGAACGACGCAACAAGCTCGCATCCAAGGCCACGCTCTGCGTGATAATGGGGTATATGGACTCCTTGAAGGCCTACAAGTTGTACGACGTTGAAAACCAGAAAATGACCCATGGTGTCCATGCCCATGCCATCTTCATGGAGAACGAGTTCTTCAATTACTCGCCGCTCCCGGACACCATCGACGACGACGACGATGACACCACGCCGGCACCAACATCGCGGACCACGCAGCTCCAACGAGCCCTCGGCTCTGCTCCCACCATCTTCGAATTTGCTGTCAAGACCGTCCGCAACGCAGTCGACACAGCCATCGACGCCATCATGCCGACCCCCGCAGCACAGTCACGCACAAACACCACGACAGCACCATCACGAACACGCACCACGGCAGCACCAGTACGCACTAGCACGACAACTGCACCGACACGGCTCGCTGCACCACAAGCCGACACGCCGAAACAACGCAGCACCAACGCGCCACGCCACCCCGACCAGACACACCACCGCCAACAACAACGCCGGAACCACGCAAAGAACACGTTTCCGTGAGTTCACCGCACGCCAGCAATCCCTACCACCACTGGAGACATAGTGTTCACACTTCAAGGTCCCACGTCAGCCGCCATCGTACACAGCCGACTACACACCTTCCTTCGCACCCGACTTCACGGAGCAACGCATACCGACGCACACCACAGCCGATCGCCGCGCGCAATCCCAACGCCCCCGCAGACAACCACATCCCAACCCCAAGAACGCGTCACTCGCATACGACGACGACCCCCTCGACACCTTGAACGCAGAACTAGATGGCTACCACAACAATGAAGACCCGACCGAACACACGACCACGTACCGCTTTGATGGCGTAGAATACGCATGCGCGGCCGTACCGCTACACCCAGTCCCTAACAGCCACAAGGAAGCAATGGCATCACCTGAATGGCTGCATTGGAAAGCTGCCGAAGAAGCAGAAGTCGCTCAACTTACCGCATTGAAGTGCTGGACCGTCGCACCGCCGCCCGCCGGCCGAAAAATCATCAATGGACGCTGGAGAGACCGACGCCGAAGGCAGCGTTGTCCGCTGGAAGGCGCGCTGGGTCTTGAAGGGATTTTCACAAGTCGCCGGCGTCGACTACGAAGAGCCATCATCGAATGTGATCAAGATGACGCCCGTCCGCACCATATTCGCCGTCGCAACCTGGCATGGCCGCGTTCGTCACTACGGCCCTCTACGGG